TTTACAAAATACGCAAAATAGTGAAATAAATATTGTGGTATATTAATAATGTTCAATGCAGAAAAATTCATCTTGAACTCTCATAAAAGATTTTCAACATGCTATATACAGAATGAAAGCATACTTCTTAGATTTCATGTAAACAACATCTTTGAAAATTGAAAACTAAAACAAATTGCGATCAATATAATAACAGCGAGTCAGAACTTATTGTACACTATTACAAAGTGGAATGCTAACAGCAAAACACCAAGCATGAATATGCGTGGATCACACCAGTTACTTCACAGATGTCACACACAGAGGCAGTTCAAATACTGTTATCTACATGCAGTGTTTTGAACCTTGATAAGTCAAACACCTCCCTATACATCTACCATACCCTAAGTCAAATTGTTTTCAAGTCCCTGTCTGGATTCCTTTACACACAATGGATTAAAAACTTCCCTAAACTTGAAGGCTTTTCCTCTAAAACCTCCATAGGTCAAATTTTCTGAGGCCTTTTGGCCAATTTTTTCTTGACACAGGTTTTTTCGTTGTTTTTTGTCATAAACTACGTAAATCTTTCCTACACTGTGTGAGTTAACCTGGTTATTTACTTGGGGACGGAACTTCAAGTCGTAGGAAACTTGAGTAAAATTTTCATTAAAATCCGCCAGAATATCTCCATTTACAATTTAGTGAAATTTTTCAATGTGGAACTACAAGCACAAAAATGCGTGGTTCCAAAGTTAAACCATCTGTGTACTCGAAGCCTCAACAAGTCAATTTTTTCTGGTCCCTTGAAATTTGACTTTTAGATAGGTTCAACAAGGGGGGGAGCAGCGTAAATTCGGCAGCTCACATGTGAGCTCCGGCGAGAAGTCCACTCACGGTTCAACAGCATGCTGTGCACACTATATATTGTACCTTCATGGGACAATAATAAGCGACACAAGCCCACCCGGGATTTAATGCGCCACTCTTCAATGATGTTACACATTCCCCTGGAACAAATCAACCTTCGAACAAACTTATTCCAGTTTATGTTTCCCATTTGGAATCTATTGTTTTGAAATCTTGGAACTTCTTTCAATTATGAGAATTTTTGAAGAAAAACGTTTTCCAAAGATTTTTTTCTTGTTATATTACTTGGCTTGATATTTGTCCCTCAAGTCCAATTCCTGGTTTGTTTGTAAAACGTATATAACCTTCTCATTATTGTGCTTGTTGCTCAAGAACCCACTCCATTAATCATTTCTCATGAAAAAAATATTTGTAGCCCACGATGTGGAAACACCCACCAGCAGCAGTACTTCTGAACAAATTGCTTTGTTATTGAAAAATCTAATTTCTATGTGAAAAATGTCTATCAACCAAAAATATGCTCAATTTTAAAAATTGTGCCGCATTCTATTTTCATGAAGAAAATCTAAAACCTTGTCACAACATCACTGATGGGACTAGCAGAATGTGTTTGTCATAAAAAATGGTCATCATATTATAACTCATTCACCAGTGTGGCCATAGCTATAGGACAGGAGAAAAAACAACTACGGTCAACTCAATTATTTGTTATAACAAGATATTCCACTCAGATCTCCATTCCATTCTGAGGACCAACTGTGCAACAGGCACAGCACCACGTCACCATATCAGGCTCACCTTACCATTCTTACAGTAGGAATCCATATTTCATGCTTTTATACATTCCTGAAATAATATATACACTATACGCATCAAAAATCAATATGACAAGTCAGATGACAAAAACAAATCCGTGATGCATTGACGTACCACCTCTGGTTCAACAATGCCGGGTAATCAACGAAGCAGCAGTGTTATTCGCGGACACCCTGAACCCCAAAGTTTACCAATTCCTTGCATCACATCACCAAGAATATTCTGGAAGCCAGTCAACGTCCGGTCGGAACAAGAGTGTCTTGATTTCAAACAGTGTCTTCATTGACAGATCACATATACGAGTCATCGATCGAAAAATAATGCAATAAGATTCAATTCAATTTTGTAGCATTCGAAGTACAGTATAGGGAACAGAAATGAAAATGTTTTGGATGCATCAGAATAAAGACATCATAATACACAGTACAGTTGAACCTTGATAACTTGAACTTCCCTCAGTCAAATACCTACGTACTTCAAATTTTTCCAAAGGCAATGTCAATTTCTCAAAAAACAATGCATTAATAACCACTCTACCTCCAAGACTTTTCCCCATTCAAACTTCCATAGCTAAAATTTTCTGGATGTCGTTTAGTTACAATTTTACTGACACAGGCAAAAGAAAACCAACAAATTTAACCTTCAGCCTTTTGATAAGAAGTGGAAGACAAATAGAACCTTGCCTTCAACTTCAGCATCCTGTCAACTCATTCAGAAAGCAATTTAAGGCCCAGAATATCACCAATTACAATTAATTTTTCTTCTGCAAAAATGAATTTCGCGTTTAGTATTGTTATGATTTTATCCAGTGCATAATCAAGTGTTTGTTGAACGTAATCAACAATTTCCAGACATTCCAAACTTTCTCATACAACGTTATTGCTGTCAACACAAATTTAAAAAGACCGCGTGAAAATTACGGTACAGTATATTGCAGAATCATTGAGACGTGTCAATGCTTAGTAGTATTACTGCGCAGTAGTTATTTTTTATTGCTGTCGAATTTCAAAATCACAGCCTTCACAATTCGGAAGCACGAATTCATTCGCCCCTTCAAAAAATTTAGGGGTGCGCTACATTACGATACTGTACTTAAAAATGGCGAAACGCTACCGAAGCTTACACAAACATTCTTAAAATGTTTCACCAAAGTTGGGACAGGTGTCGCCTTAATCCTGCAGTTAATTTCACAAACCAAATGCAGGTAGACTGCCTTAACAACAATTTTCTCTTCACAATGAACCTATTTTTTGGTTCAATAAGGTTCTCTCAACATATTATAGGACTTCTCTAACAAGATTAACTCTAAATACATTTTTTTCTGGTCCCTCAATTTTTCTTGCAGAAAAAATCCACCTTCACAATGGAAGCCAATTGAAAAACCCATAAAAATTGGAAGCTAGCTTAAGCTGCTGACAGAAGTTTGAAAGGAAAACCAGCCTGGCCTTCAGGAAATTACCTGTACTTAATCACAGTACCACATACACTTTTCTTTATTGAAATTGCGAGAAAAAATGGGGGTGCATCATAGGTGAGTGAAAACTTTTAAAAATATTTTAGAATTTTAGCGGCGCATTTTTCTTGAATCTAACAGGAAATTTTGAAAAAATTTCACTATTTAAAGTCATTTTTATGGAAATCATTGAAAATTAGGTAAATTCAGCTTCGATTCATCATGTTCATTTCTGAAGGAAAAATTCGGGTGCTCTTATTCGTGGAATTTCGCAGTTTTAGGGTCACAAAAAAATGGGGTGCGCGTCTTACTCTGGGATAAAATTTAGTAAAAATTTCAGACTAAAAACCCTGCTGCGCATCTCAATTGAGAGCGCGTGGTACTCCAGTGAATACGGAAGAATGAACCCCGCATACACTTACAAAACTTGAAAGAAGTCAAGTGGGATTAACATAAAAAATAAAACAGAAAATATGTGATGGAAAGCAAGATCATCAACTCGGGGCATAAACAGATACGACTGGCAATAATCAACATTTCTAAATCATCAATCGAGAAAATAAAAACCAACGATATCCACGATATTTGTTCACCCTTCCGTCCGAAACTCGCCCTCAGAATATCCTTCGCATGCATTCGGATAAAGCAAAAATACAATCTTACATAAAAGCCGTCGCCTGTGAAGAAACTCACAGGGCATTTCTCTCAGATCCAAACACTTCGACCGAAAAAAAAAAACCAATTTCATAACAAAATTCGACTGATCAGACTCGCCATTTTCCCCGCTGACTTACGAAAATACTCTTCGTCTTTTCCAAAGAAATACCAGGTCGGATTCAATCCACTTTCAAGATTCAAATATTGATGTTCGGAATAGAAGTCAAATAAAAAAGAAAAATACAGTTGGGGCCCCGAGATGCGGACGTAATTGGTACTGTACATGGAAGTTGTCTCCACGTTGGGTTGTCTGCATGTCAAATCAAGTTTTCCCTTAGACTTCAGTAGGAATATATTTAATTTATTCTCCAATTGATCAAGATTCACGAAAAAGTCCCTTTGCAAAAATTTAATAAAATTAATTTTCTCAGTTTCAAGATACAGAAAATAACTGCGCAGAAGAAAACCACACATGATCAGATCTTTTGGCATTGATGAGCCCAAAAAGCAAAAAACAATCACAAGTTTTCCTATAGTGTGCTCAGATTATGGAAAGAAATCTGAAAAACCAGCAAAAATTGGCTGTATAGTGGACCCTCAGTTAACAAACTTGCTTGGTTCCAGAGAAAAGTTTTTTGACCAAATTTGATTTTCCCACAGACTTCAACAAGGAAGACATCAACTATCAACTATAATCACAATAAGTTCTCGCTGCATAATATGTGAGCCCATAATGATTTTACAGTTATAACTGAGTAGCATTGATGAAAACAAAGATAAAAAACTTCACATCAAGAGAAACACACACTAGGATGCGCGTCAGGTGAAAATTACATTTCTTTTTTAATGCTGCAAGTAAAGATCGAATAGACCTTTCAACAAATTCAAGAACTATAGAAAAACCAAGCACAGAAAAGGATATATGAATAATAAAGCTGAAACATATTTTAAACACACGATTACACATATTTAAGTGCCAGAAGGGAAGAATTGTCCTATCAGTGCATAGGTAATTATTTGCACCTGGAATGTACCCTAAATTTTAGCCTCAAATCAAATTTTGATTTCTTACAATTTGGGATTTTTCTCAGAAAAACAAAAAAGCTTGTTAACCAAATTTTGAATTGTGAACCAAGGGTCCACTGTATTCATAGCGCAAAAATTCGGATTATGAATTACTATAAATTAAATACTGTACCATATATATATATATATATATATATATATACCGCACCGACATTATTTTTTAATGTTTTGTGAATACTGTATAAAAAGCTCAATTTGCTCACGATATATCAAAGTGAAAAATAAAAATTTTCCATTTCTCTAGAAATGCTTGTTAAGCGTCCGTATCTTGAAACATTGTCTGGGTGGGGGGCAGATTTTTTCTTGGAGTATTAAAAGTGTCCCAAAGTCGATTCTTCCCCAGGTCGAGGCCCTCCTGTATAACTTCGACTCGCGAAGGACAGTTTCGAAAATTCTTTCACTCAAAAGCATGCCTCACTTTCCTCAAGCCGCCATAAACAATTGAACAAACCAACAAAAAAATCACTCGTGCTTCAAGCTTGGCTATGACAAAAAATAAAAGAAACGAGCCACAGCAACTCGCCTGGACATAAATTCTACGAGCAACACTTGGAAACGGTGCTGGACGAGCCGATGGCCACAGTTTCCGCAGCCTCTTTGGCCTGCACAGAACAGCCGTCGTATTGGTCCTTCAGTTCCTTCGCCAGCGTCACAAAGCAGTCGTCGACGCGGGTGTTGTCCTTGGCCGACACTTCCAAAACGGAAAGGATTTCGGGACATTGGTCCTGAAGGGCCAGCGCCTCATTGGCCTCGACTTCTCGAAGGCCCTCCATGTCGCACTTGTTTCCTTCAAACGTGGACAGGAAAATTGAAATGAGTAGAAAATAAAACATTTCTGAAATTAAAATTCTTCTTCGGTCATCCAGTCATTGATACGAATACAGTGGATCCTTAGTTGACTGTATTGTATTTCAAAAATGAAAACACTCAAATTTTAACTTGGACATGAGTTGATACTAATTTAAACTAATTTGCAATTGTATCCATTAAAATATATTTCTCTGATAAAATTGGTCCAACATCTACCATTAGGATCAAGCGTAATGCGCACATAAACTTCTACAAATTTTTTGAAAAATTCAAATCCTCCCATGACGCACGCCCCATTTTTTCCCTTTCAATTTGAGAAAAACGGTGCGTGTGGTACTCATGTAAATACGGTAAGAGCTTCTACACATGTGCTTTTCAGCGAAGATTTCGAACACAATATACGCAGATTTCTTCATGGCAAAGGAATTTTGGACACCGCCAAAGCACTCGAACCAAGTAAGTATATCTTACCAATAAGAATCACGCTGACTTGAGAAGCTGTATACTTGCGGACCTCGTCAATCCATCGCTGGAGATTCAGGAAAGTAGCTCGTTTCGTGACGTCGTACACTAGTTGGGTTACACAAATAATGAAAAAGAATAAATAAATACAATGTAATCACACGGTTTATATTGTACTGGTAGGTTCTCAAGGACATCCCAAAGCTGTCTCAGTGAACACAATCCGACACACAGCTGACGAAAATGAGCTCAGAGTTCATCAAAACGATAAGTAGAAGATGTCCTTCGTATTCATCATTGCAGAAGAATTTTTTCGGCTTAACGGATGCGATAATATTACGAGTGACGACAGTATACTGCACAGAATTCAAATGCCTATTTTGATGAGACTACCATTATTCTAAAATAATCATAACCTCAATACTAAGGTGAATCCCCCTGGAGGCAGATGAATTATTTAAATAAAGACGAAAAATATGGTAATGCAGCAAAAATTACAGTATTTTCACGTGCACAAACATTTTAGACATGATGAAATATTTCGCTTTTGCTTCGAAGCTCATAAAATTCCGTTTGGGGATTTAAAATTCGGATAAAATTCAAATACCGCACACAAGGGCCTGAAAATGCTGAGACCTCAATTTTAAAACAAACTTTGAATTTCGGAGAAACAGGTAACAGAAACTAATATACTGCTTACAGTATTGCAAGTCATAATTAACTCAAAACGCAACCCTTTCCTGTGGGCTAAGAAATGTGCACAAAAATGATTCATCAATGCAAGGAACTACTTTCAGCACTGTGAACCATAAATGAACATCAATTGTTTCTAAATACAAAGAAAATTACTTAAATGTCAACCTATAGCGCGACTAAGTACAATACAGAAAAATGAAACTTCTCTAACAAAAATTAGAACACATAGTCTAACCCAACAATTACTACTTAACTAACCTAATAAAACATGTTCAAGCTGACCCAACCCGGACATTTGAGTTTGGGAAGATTAGTTTGACAGGATAGGCACATGAATTCAGACGCACTGCAAGGACAATTTCAACAAGAAGAATTAAAATACAAACCAAGTTAACAGTACTAACGTACTGTCAATCCTCAATTTAGTGCCTCAAATTTCTCTGGAACAAATTTCCTTCCACTGTGTTCTTCAGAGGAACCTAAATTTAATGCCAACTCACTTAGCGCCAAAAAATTTCCTCTTCCTGAATAGAAAATGGGCCAAACTTGAATAAATCCTGGCTTTTTTCTAGGACTATCATTTGATTATCACTAGGAATCATTTGCATATGCTCACAGAAAAATTCAGGATCAACTTAAATACAAGTACCGTATTCCATTTCTGAATTAGCTTTGTTGAAAAATATTTTTCTTGTCGCACAAAACTTTATTTCATTGAAAATGTCTTCAACTGGGAGCTTTCCAGGACACATCGGTGATTCCTGCATGATGGTACCTGATATAAAAGTTGAACTGAAACAAAATTTCAAGAAACATCTTTGCTCTTTTACTCGATACATGTGCAAAAATATAATATATTCTCTCCAAGTAAATATACTGAAATATCCTACATCTGAGCTTAAAGTCATTTCTCATGGATTTCTCTCATAAGAACAGAATCCGTGGCGTAAAAAAGTCTGCTAAAAAGCTAATTTTTCTTGAAGTAAAAACTCTCAACTAAAATTTCTTTCATACAAAACGTTCCAGGACAAATGATTCAAGATTTCACAAAAACCTTAAAAATTAAAAACTCACTCAGCATAACTCCGTTCGCAGATCTGTAGTAACTCTGAGTGATCGTCCGGAAGCGTTCTTGGCCCGCCGTGTCCCAAATCTGCAACTGCAACGATACATTCCATCATCAAGCGAAGTAGGTCACGCGTTCGTCAGCCAGACGCAATAACTGGGTCACCATCCCCAACTCACCTTCACCCGCTTTCCGTCGATCATGATGGTTTTCATGGAGAAGTCGACCCCGATCGTGTTGCCATGACGTTCCACGTAGCCGCCGGTAGTGAACCTGTGCACGACGCACGTTTTCCCGACGCCGACGTCCCCGATCACCACTATTTTGAAGAGGAAGTCAAACGGCTCTTCCGCCGAACTCAACGCGGAGGCCATGTCCCTTTTGCCAACACGAGCAAAAACAAACCCACTGAACTGTTCGTCTTTTTTTTCACGAACGGAACAACATGCAAGAAAAGCGTTCTCCGAAAACACTGACGACATACAAAAAAAGAGAGAAACAAATAACGCGTTTGGCACATCTTCCGTCATTAAGAAGAACGATTTCGAGATGAGAACACAAGGCAGATTTCTCAAGCGGTCCCCGGAAACTTCAAAAACGTTCTTCTACACCCGTGTACGAAAGCACGAAGATGTGTCGAGCAATTTGTTGGGTCGAGAAACCTCAATCCCTGGCACATTTATAAATACACAGTTACAGGTCACATACAGTATTCGGTTGATATCAAGAATCGCTATTAGTAAATGACCAATTTGTTTCCGATTAACACACCTTCATGCACGTGATCGAAGGGAAACATAACATCAAATCGACGGACAGAATCCAAAGATTGTCCAGAAACTTAGCTAAAAACTCCAGAGACAATTCAAATCAAGCTTCGTTCGATTAACTTTCCAACACTGTCCTGATCTTAAGATTGCAGGTAGATTCCAACAAGGATTTCGGGAAAACGAGTATTTCGTCAAGAAAACCGATTTTTTCGTATAATTTTTTTTTTTCTCGAAATAAGTAGCTACAACCCGACGTCAGATTCAAGCTTAAAAATTAGATTATTTTCACGTGACAACATATTTCACGTTTGAAACATGAACCATTGCCTTTTTGGCAGCAATGCTGAATTGAGTTTTGATGCTAAATTGAGACACGAAGGCTCGCCCGGTTGGGCGAAAAACACAAAAAAACTGAAATTTCCGAATAGAACACGAACTTGAATATCCGACTTTCGTACACTCGAATGAAAATCAACAAGAATTTCCGCCAAAACTTCCATTTCTCACGCTGCGCAGTACTCTAACTTTTCCCCAGTTCCCGCGATACACCGAAATAATATAGAACATTTGAACAGAGTTACTCATAAGAACGGAAAAAGAGTGGAACTACGTGAAACAAATTAACAGCAACTGCAGAAGCTACGCATCCCTTCTGCAATCTCACGGCAAGTAATCACAGATAGAAGTGCCTGAGTCAGAATCACAATGGAAAGAGCCCGCCTTCGTCCGATCCGCCTTTTGTACAAATTTAGTTTTCTTCCCACGTTTTTGCAATGGTTTCGTCCCTGAAAAAAAAAGAATTCCAACGTCAGTGAAACATAGCTTACAATTGCAACGAATGCATGAAACGATAAAACTCGTCTCCCAATCGGATATTTCAGGGCTCAGGAGCTTAAAAATAAAAGAGAGCCGAAAATCCTGTTTGACCATTTGCTTTCATGAATGAAAGGACTAATTCAGTTTTGTAGTTACAAAGATGGGTGCACAAAAGATTAAAAATAAGAACGTTATGAGGCCTAACCTCACCAATATAAAATTATAATCCACTAACTTTGAACAATTTGTTCTTGCGAGATTCGCTCACCTGATGTGAGTCCCACGAGTTCAATTTATTGGCCGGAATGAAAAACCTCGAATTCAAAACTCGAAGCGAATTTTCTCAATTACTTGACGCAGTTCCATCAACAATCAGGCAACTTTTCGGGTCAATAACTGATTAATCAGTATATCTGGGGAGAATTAAGCGGCTCAAGTAAAAAGCAAACCAAAATTCAAAGTTTATCAAAGTTTCAAGAGCACAGTACAGTATTTATAAAACCCTTGTTCTCAAATAGAATTACACGGGATGATGNTCATTAAAAATAAAACACACACTTTCAAACAATTTAAATTACCGTAATTCTCCTCTTCATCAGATGTACGACTGTTGAAGCTCTCCTCGCGCTGAATCTTCTTATTTTTACGGCGACGAGCTTTCTTTGATTTCCTTTCGCCTTCATTCGTCGTTTCGGCAAGAGTTACAACTTCTGTATGTTCTTCTTCCTCTTCTTTGATCGTCAATGAATCCAAAGATTTGTGAAGGCTGGTGTCAACGCCTTCGTCGCCATCAGTGGACTCTCCTTCGCTGAAACGACGAGCATTCGCGCGCTTGCGCTTCTCGGCTTTCTTGCGGTTTTTCGCACGTCGTCCGAGAATGCAAGAGTCCATCCTTCAACATATAAATTCGAGGAATTCAGAATGCTCCTGAACTTAACAAATGATAAAAAAATTCAATCATTCACAACGTCTTCAAGTCACAAGTGCGCATTGGAAGAACTGGAACTTCAGAAATCTTCACCAAGCGCGAGATTCTGTTGAAAATGCAATGTACCCAACAATAAAAGAATTTCAAGTTCCTTTCTTCTTATAATTCCTCATCGCACAGCAAATCCATCCTTTCTCTTCACCTAGTGCAAATAACGGCAAAATTTGTTTCACGAACCCCATCCATGAGCTCAATATTTGTACTTATCAGTGAAACGTGTTACAGAGTGGCATTCAAGAATCAGAGAGCTTGAAATGAACGATACAGTACATTCTTGAATAAGCGTGGCCCATCGGTCAAATGCATCGGCGACCAGAAAAAGTATCGAAACACAAGTACCTGAAGGTTTGTTGCTGGATTCGATCGCTGAAACGAACAGTTTTCGCACACGGTTCCCGCGGTGAATCCTCGGAATCCGTGGAGAAATCCGTAGTGAACTCGTTACTGGTAGATAACTTTTCTCCAATGCTGTGACATTCCGACGCTCGTCGCTGACGTCGTTTCAAAATTCCCCTCAGCTGACCCTGAAGAATCGTACAAATCAGATGTGCAAACGCACAAAAGTTCTGTACTCATATCTACGACTACTGCATTCACTTCGGTACACGTCTGGTAGACGAGGCGCAGTCCCTTTCCTTCTATTCGTCCATCGCGAATCCAAGGAAATTTGTAAGTAAAATTATGTTCGGTTAGTCGAGGTAGAATTGGTATCTTTTAGTCGAGGGTAAATTCGGGTCAGGTCGGTTGATTCGTGTGAAGTTCAGGTTACATTAATCGGATCAAGTAAGTAACATCAATTGTAGCAATCGCTGCCAAATGCTCCCTATCGAACGAAGAGCCGTCTTTTCACGCTTGAGCCCCCAAGATTCGACTGATATCCCCGTCCCATACATTCGTTGCATCAAAGAATCGTAAAAACGGTTGCATACGGTAAAAAAAAAAAAACTGCACTCACATCAGCATAGCTGCTTTCCGAGAGGCTGCGAGCTTTGGTGCGCTGAACAGAAGGACGTGGGCTGGGCGGGACATCATGTATCTCTTCACTGACCGCGTTTCGTGAGAGCAACTTAGCGTTTAAGGAGGTTTTCCCGCTCAATGAATTTCCAACGACAGAAACAAAATCAATAGAAGATGCTTCCGATTGCGACAATGGCATTTAGATTTTACGGGGAATAATCTGAAGATAGAATAAACGATTCAACGAAAACGTCACACTGAAATACAATAACCTGAGGCAACATTGCGACAATCCCAAGAACACGACGCATGATTCTCCTTCTATGGATTTTCACCCTCACGTGACAACGACCTAAGGTTTATTACGTACGGTACTCCACTCAGGACGAGAGTGTGTCATCAATAATTTGCAATAATTATCAGTCGTATCGTATAAATGAGCTCCGAATCACTTCCGATACATAATCTGTACACGTCAGCGTTTTCGAACAGATACGGAGCTTTCCAGTATTGCCGGTGATCAGTCGATCCAGCTCCAAGTCTGTATATCCAGTTCTTCGAGAAAATGTAACGAACACACGGTAGTCACGAGGAGAGCTAATACGAACAAAATACGGACGATGAACTTCATCATGGATATAAAGGTACCATGCTGTACAGGGAATCAATCAATGTAATGTATCGAAGAAGAAAAGACAACCTATTGAAAATTGTAAACCCGATATGTTGACTAAGTTACAAACATGGGAGCAACATTCACTTCTTTAAATCGAATAATATGCACAAGTCTTTAATCTAACTATCTCATATCGTGTTAAAGAGCTATGTTATTTTTACGTCACAAAAATACAATTCTAACAATTGTACAGTATCCTTGCGCATCATTAGTAGTGAACGTGCACTCACAGAGCAACATCAGGAACTACTGCATTAACAGTAACACTTCTGAATCCAATCACGACCCTTCGGCTCACTGCCCGGACTTAGCCACTACAGAAGCGCGTAGCGGGGCTCAGCTGGAACCCAACAGGGGATAAGCGCTGAAATGTCAGTATATCCGTCTGACTAACTTCTCACGGCCAGACTTCGAGTTCACCGTATGTGCAACAGGAGTGAAAATCAGCCTATCCGTCTGGACATTGTTTTCGAATACACTTAAACAAGCTTGATGATAAGCCGGGAAGTTGCGTTATCTGTTCCAAGGAAAAGAAAATCGCGAAGTTATGCCCATAAACAGTATGTAGATGTCACTTATCAACTTTTACAGTTGTTGGAGCTCCCCTTCATTCAATGAGGCCATGATAGCAGCTTATTGTTTACCTGTTCACAGCACTCAAATCATGCAGGTATAGACTCTATATGCTTTTATGTTTCTGATAATTCTTGTGCGCAAGACTTCGTATTGAAAGAATTTACTTGATATTCACTGTTCGACTTAAAAATGCTGCAAAAGTATGACAAAGTTTTATGAAGTTCATGATATGTGAAAGATTGGTGGACGGACTTCTCACCGGAGCTCACATGTGAGCTGCCGAATTTACGCTGTTCCCCCTTCCCCCTGCCTCACTCCCTGAACCCATCACTCTCTCTATGAAGAAAAATCATGAGAGACTTCAGAAGGCCTGTTTGAATAGGTATAAACAGTGTAGTAGGAGAAGTACTATCAACTAATGTAATTAATATTCATTTTTATAAACCTTATGGCTTTACTGAAGGTTCTCTCTTCATTACTCTGATTATAAAAGTTGAGTACATGCAATGAGAAA